GTGATGGCCTGGGAACCATGATGCGGGACCATGGCACACCAGCAGACTGCCCTGGGGATCTCTGCTCCAACCATCTGCTTGGATACCCCAGTGATGCCCTGGCCTTCCCAACCAAGACAACGAAGCAAGGGGAATGCAAGGCTGAAGCAAATGCATTTCTGTGACAGCAGGAAACAGCCTTGATACCAACTCTGGAAGAAATCACCTGCTCCATTGAGGATGTCACAGAGCCTGCTGTGCATCCCTTTTGCATTCTTCTGCACGCACATGCTGCATGCACTATCCTCTGCCACATCCTTCATGCATCTGAACATGCATCCTCCATGTGCTGTGCTCTTTTCCAGTGCATCCAGTACAGACTGTGCTATGGTATGTCCTCCATACTTTGCCCTCTCTCACAGTGCATCCTCCATATGGTTCTGTCCGTGTGGTGCATCCTGCACCATTCCCCTTCAGTTACCAGCCACTGAAATCTCTGCTTCTTCAAACCACAAATACCATCTCAGGCTAAAGCAGAGCATTTCCCTGACCAGTGTTTTCTGGGTCACCAGAAAGTGCCATCAAGAGCTTTCTTCTACCCAGGGCTGTCCTTGTTCTCTAGGGGCTGCTTTGTGTCCTGCCATGTCCCCAGGTCTCTGAATAAGTGGAATGAGCTGCATATAGCTCTGGGAGTACTTCCCTGCACAGGACACATTCTTTCCAGTCTATTTGTGTCTCTCGTCTTGGTTCATGTGAATGGGAATAGCCCCATGCCCAGGCCAGACAGAAAGACTCTTGACTAGAAACATGGCCAGCACAGCCAGAAATGGATGGGGATAATGAGATGTGGGGGGGTCCCACTACTCTACAAACCCATCTCACGTTGCAGTTCCACATAATAAGTGATGTTCATGCCTCTTACCCCCATATCTCCCCTAATCGGTGCTGTCTGTGCTCCCTCATTGCAGAGCCACCCCAGCTGCGCCTGGTGAACGGGCTGGGTCCTTGCACAGGGAGAGTGGAGGTGCTGCACAACGAGCAGTGGGGCACAGTGTGCGACGAAGGCTGGGACCTGCCGGATGCAGAGGTGGCCTGCTGGCAGCTGGGATGCGGGGTTGCCATCTCAGCCAATGGCTCGGCGCAGTTTGGGCAAGGATCTGGCACTATCTGGCTGACCGAGGTGCAATGCCAAGGATCAGAGGGTACCCTGGCCGCATGCAGGGCCAAACCATGGGGAGTGCATCACTGCAGCCACCAAAACGATGCCGGTGTGGTGTGCGCAGGTACCTCCTTTCCTGCCCCATTTGCCATGATAATACTGGTCTCTGGGAAAGGCAGGTGGCAACCGAGGGAGGGTCTCTGGCCCTTTGTACTGGTGGGAACCCCACGGGTAGGAATGCTGTGGAAGTGTGGTGTTCAAAGGGCTGGGTCTGGTGGGGAGCTGGTCATCGTTTGCAAATCCATCGTGATGCCTAGCGGAGTCCCTACAGACATGATCTTGCTGCCTGTGCAGCATGTGGAGCTGAGCATCAGGGGCCCAAGGGAGCTGGCCCCACTGGAACACGGAGCAGAGCTAGGAGCAGTCCTGCTTCTGGTCCCACCCAAGCTCCTGCTGCAATGCCTGTTCCTCTGCTCTTTGCATGGGCCTGTCCTGAGCACCTCTTTGCATTGAGTCCCATGCCTCTTCAGCCATGTGTGCGGGGGGACTGCATTGGTCAACATGGGGGTAAAAGGACAGAGGAGACGTCTGTGGCCACCGGGTCTCCTTAGCCTTTGTGTTTGTGCTTCTTGCAGAGCCGAGCGAGGTGCGGCTGGTGAACGGCTCCGGGCGCTGCTCGGGACGGGTAGAGGTGCTGCACGAGGAGCGCTGGGGCAGCGTCTGCGGCCATGGTTGGGACCTGCTGGACGCGGAGGTGGTGTGCCGGGAGCTGGGCTGCGGGGCTGCGCTCTCTGCCTCTGGTTCAGCTCTCTTTGGCCAAGGGCATGGTCCCGTCTGGCTGGACGGGGTGAACTGCACCGGGATGGAAGAGGCCCTCTCGAAATGCCCAGCCGAGCCCTGGGGTGTCCATGCTTGCGGCCATGAAAAAGATGCTGCTGCGGTGTGCTCAGGTATCCTGCAGCTGGGTCACTGCAGCGCCAGGAAAAGGGGGCAATGCTGCTGGGCTGGGTCTGCAATTTCTACAGGGATCTCTCTTTGCCTCTGCTGCACTTTTTGCAAGGGTTATTGCATGCAGGGCTGTTCATAGAATCATAGAGTGCTTAAGGTTGGAAGGGACCTCTAGAGGTCATCTAGTCCAACCCCCCTGCACACGCAGGGTCACCTAGAGCACGTGGCACAGGGCTGCGTCCAAGTGGGTTTGGAAGATCTCCAGAGAAGGAGACTCCACAACCTCTCTGGGCAGCCTGTTCCAGTGCTCTGTCACCCTTACTGTTAAAAAATTTTCCTTAAGTTCCTGTGGAACTTTTGGTGCTTTAGTTTGTGGCCATTACCTCTGTTCTGCACGGGGAGGCTGTCGTCTTCCTCTCTTCCCGCTCAGGTAACCCCATTTCAGGACTTGCTATTGTCTTTAATTGAGAAGAACTGAAGGATCAAGGACCTATGGAGCTGCCTAAGTTGCCTTAGTCAACGTATGCAATGAAACCTGCAGTGGTGAATGGCAAGTGTGATACCCAAGTCCATAGCTCTGCAGGAACATGCTTGGTGACAATTTGAGGCTGAGGGAGCTGAGCCTGTTCAGGCTGAAGAAGGGAAGGCTGAGAGGGAATCTAATCAGTGTGTATAAATACATCTAGGGTGGAGGTATCGTATTGCATAACTTGTTTTTTAGCAAAAGTCTTTAAGGCTTCCTGTAACCCTGTGCTGCTGTAGGACATGTTGCAAGAGCTGAGACCTTCAGGATGAGTCAAAATGTTTTCCAGTAGAGCTGCTCTTAACATCTTTCCCTGGGTTTCAGAGGTTCTAGTTTTCACTAGATTATTTCGAAGGTGTTTTGAAACCAGGATGATTTTATAATTCTCTGATTTTCAGTGCTTGGCCACTCCACCTCTTAGCCTTTATCTCTTGTGGTGGCATGCATGGTCTCAGGGTTAGATGTGCCAGGTCCTTAACATTTCTCAGTGTGTCCCTGTATGCTCCAGGCCTTTCCCATTGCAGATCCCACGGAGTTGCGGCTGGTGAACGGCTCCGGCCGCTGCTCGGGGAGGCTGGAGGTGCTGCACGAGCAGCGCTGGGGCAGCGTCTGTGATGCCGGCTGGGACCTGCTGGATGCCCTCGTGGTTTGCTGGCAGCTGGGCTGCGGGGCTGCGCTCGCTGCCCCCCGCTCAGCTCACTTTGGCCACGGACACGGGCCCTTCTGGCTGGACAGAGTTCACTGCACGGGGAGGGAAGCAGCCCTCTCCGAATGCCCTGCCGAGCCCTTCTTGCTGCCTGTACAGCACGTGGAGCTGAGCATCAGGGGCCCAAGGGAGCTGGCCCCACTGGAACACGGAGCAGAGCTAGGAGCAGTCCTGCTTCTGGTCCCACCCAAGCTCCTGCTGCAATGCCTGTTCCTCTGCTGTTCGCATGGGCCTGTCCTGAGCACCTCTTTGCATTGAGTCCCATGCCTCTTCAGCCGTGTGTGCAGGGGGACTGCATTGGTCAACATGGGGGTAAAAGGAC